TTCAGCTTGACCCTGGGATGTGAAGCACATGCTTTGGTGACCCCACACATGAAGACACAGAACAGGTGATGAGGAACCCTCCGAGCAGCAGAGCCGCACTGAGCTTGGGGGTGTGGGTCAGAGCCTCTGGCCTCGCACGCGAGGACGTGGAGGGTGGGCAGACATAGAAAGATTGGAGCAGATGGGAAACCCCAGGCCTTTCTGAAGCTATTTTGTGGATTTGGGAAGAGGAGAGATTTTGATGCAACAATTGGCATCAAGCCAGAGGAAGGTACACCTCGAGGTGGGAATAGTTTCAAAGTTGCTGAAGTAGGGACCCCAGAGAGACATGGCAGGATGGCCTGCCACAGTCACTGCCACAGAGGCTGGGGAGGTGCAGAGGTCTCAGCCCCACCAGCCAGGCTTCCCTCTTGCCGAGTGTCTCCTGCTTTGCCATGGCCAATTGCCTCCATCCCAGCCTCCGATAAACGCTTAAAAGCTCAAATCACACAACCCCAGGCTGTGGAAATAAAAGGGGACCCGATAGCCGCTAATAGCCGAGCAGCCCCTGCGGCAACAGCGGGTAGTGGAGGGAAAGTGGTTTGCATTGATCAGCGGCTCCCCGTTGCCTCCCGCCCCGCTCTGCCCTGCTCTGCCTGGCTGCTGCAGCCACAGCGCTGGAAAAACGGGATCAAACCCCACGGGAGGCGCCAGAATCCGGGTAATGGCAGCAATGGTATGGTTTGTAGGGTTGGTGTGAGATCCCATTAAAGTGCCATCCTGCTGCTCCCCACTGTCCTGTCCTGGCAGGGTCACCAGGGCAGCGTGTCCCTGGGATGCTGACTGCTGCGGACAAACAGCAGTGCTGGGATCACAGACTGGAGCGAGGCTGAGCCTCTGGAGCATGAGGGACCGGGACAGCCCAGAAAGAAGCAGCTGATGGATGTAGGAGCAGGGAAAAGTTGTCCTTTTGTTTGGTGCTGGGAGTGCAGGGCACCACCAATGAATTCCCACCCAGGGTAGGACCAGCTCATGAGAGACCACAGGAGCCCTCGGCTGCAGGACGAGGTGGAGGCAGGTGGTTCATCACAACACTGAGTGGAGAACTTCAGTGCCTTTCTTGAGCCCCTTCCTCCATGCCATGTTCTACAGCCATCTAGGAAAGGCTGAGGGCAACCAATTTCCTTGGGAGCGCTGTAGCTCCCTGGCAGCCTCCCAAGTCAACCTCACAGGTCAGTGGCAAAAGGAGGACACCAGTTTGAGAGATGGGGTCTCTGTTCCAGCCAGAACAGCTCTTGGGTGTCTGTAAAAGCAGATCAGGACATGCCCACCTACGGATGGAGAGGATGGCAGGAACTGTTTGTGTTGGTACAGGACCCATTGGATTGAGCCCCTTCCTGCATGTGGCTGCCACAGACTAGGAGGAGGCTCAGGGAAGGGATGAGGTCTGGAAGGGTTCGGCCCCACGTACAGCTTCATCCCGGAAAGGAGGTGGTGAAGCAGAGGTGTGATGATGAACCATGTGGCTGGAGGGTGGACAGGGACCGTGGTTGCTGCTTCCACCGGTCAAAAAATTGGGGGCCATTAAATGAAACTTGTGGGGACAACAGGCTCAGAAAGCTGGAGAATGAAGCTCTGGGCAGTGTGCCAAGAACTCCCTGCTGCAGGATGCTTTGGAGGCTGAACATTTCCACAGCTTCAAGAGAAGCTCCTGGAGATTCAGACTGGGGAGGGCCACTGCCATGTGCTGCATCCAGTGGCACCCAGTCTACTGGGATGGCTGAGGGATTAGGAGAATTGGAGTGGTACTATAGATACTTCTCCTACATCTCAGGAACCTACTTTGACTGTTAGTAGGGACATGATGGCCAGCTGAGGTGATACAGTTCATCTATCCCAATGGTTGGTATGCCCTTCCCTGCATCTCTGTGGCTGGAGACCAGGCTGGGATATTTAAGCACTGGAGCACCGGGGACTCCAGATCTCTTTCCTGGGCATCTCTCCCTTCTTCTTTCCCTTTGTCTCTCCCTCTTTCTTCTCCCCTTGCCGCTCGGCTCCCTCCGCCCGGCGCGCTGCCCTGCCCTGGGCGGTCCCGGGGCGGGGAGCGGGGATGCCGCAATTCCCAGGCACAGGTGCGCGGTCCCTGCCGCGCTGCCCCCGGGCACGGCCCCCCCGCCGCGCCTGGCAGCACACTGGAAATAATGTGTTGTGGCAGAGAGAGACTCAGCAGACCACGAAGATCTGCTGGTGCGGGAACTGCTCAGCAACCAGGAGCCACAACGCCTGTCCCCCAGCTCCGCAGGGCCTGATCCGGCTCTGGGGATGCCTCTGCTCCTCCGGGGCCTGCCCAGATCACACGCAGGGCACCTTCTCACTCTCTCATTCTTTTTCTTTGCTCTTTCCCCTTCTCCTCCCTTGCTGTTCCTCTCTGCATCGTTAAGGAGGTGGAAGCAGCCAAGCTGCCTGTCCCTACACGGGACATCTCCCTGCCGTGCCCCGCACCACCGGGCACAGGAGGGGAACCAACGGCTTTCACAGCAGCCTTGGAGGAGGAGGAGGATCAGGTGTGCAGGAATGGAACAACCAGTGCCAGTCTTCCAGCAAAGATTTAATCTGCCTCTGGCATATAAACAGCAAATGTTTGTTCAACTGACCTGCAAACAGGGGACGTGAATCGCAGCAGGGCCGAGGCGCCGGCTCCCTGCACTTGGTTCCTTGCCATCCAGCAGGGTGACATGGGGCAGGGAACCAGGGACAACGAGGTCCAGGATGCTCGGGGCACCCCAGGCTTGGTGGTTGGAGCCAGGGAGCGATGCTGGGAGGGACCTCATGCCACCCAGCTGCTGCTGCATCCCTTCTGCTCCCTCGAGCGTGTGCTGAGCTCTCCTGGCTCACGGGCGTGATGCACACACACCGTGTCTGAGGGCTGAAGGACAAGTATGTCCCTGTAGGCTGTCCCTCGCTGCCCTCACCCTGCAGGCAGGAGGCCCCAAGCTCTGCCTGCACATCCCATTGCGATGGGAGAAATCAGCCTTGGCTGCTGCAGGTTCGTTACAAGGGGACGTTTTTGCCTGTTTACTGCATGACCAGATCTTAACAGCAGGGTCGGCTTCCAGCTCAGCCCACACGTGGGTGTGCAGAGGGCTGTCCCCAAGCCCTGCCTGCAGCTCAGCCTGGTCTGGGGAAAGCCACAGCACGCCTCGTTCCCTGTCCCCGTTGTAGGTGGGAAATATTTCCTGCTGCTTATGATGACCCTCAAAAAGAAATTTGAAAGGGTCCTACGTAGGACTTTCTTCCATCATGCAAGCACTCTCACCATGCTCCTGGGGGAAGGTGATGCCCTTTGGTGCCTGTGGTGAGGAGATTGGATAACAGACCATGAAGCACCTTCAGCCTGGCACAGCCATCACCTGGGCATGAGGCTGGTGGGATTATCCCCAGGATCACCGGTATTCCTGTTTCAGGGACTGTCAGGTCCTTGAGCCACTGCCTGGACCTGCCCCCAGGCAACTCCTTGTCCCAGCTGCCTAAAGCTGCAGACACACAGGCTCTTTCCCTTCCCATCCTCCAAATCCTCTCTCCTTCTTCCTGAAAGCCAGGGAGCAGATTATTTCCCTGAATGGCTCCAGCTGCCACATTGGTGGCAATCTGGAGCTGCTCCTGGCCTCCTCCTTCCTGGGTTCTGCGTCCCCACACCAGCCTGATTGCAGCATCTCCTGGGGCCCAGGGACCTGCTGTGTGGGGGAAGGATTTGGCTCTTGAGAAATGAGCCCTAGATACACAGAATGAGCCCTCAAACTCTGTCCCCACCAGGAGAACTGTATTGGTTTTTTTCTGAGAAGCTGGCAAGTCCCTCCAGGGCAAATCTGTGTCTGGAGGGGTGACACAGACCCGTGCATCAGAGTCGGGTGCCCCGTAACTGCTTTGCCATCTGTGGAGGAGCCCAATTTCGTGGCCGTGGAGCCTGTGCTGGTCCAGCTCCTCTGGGGGATGAGGAGTCAGAAGGCTGTGCCCCTCGGCCCACTCCCAGAGCTGGTGGAGCGACCTTGGAGGGACGGGCTGTGGGACAGGTGTGACCCTGCTGTCCCCAGGGAGGTTGTGGTGGGAAGCACAGAGCGGACAGCACGGTGTCAGGGGCCTGCTGGGGATGTTGCCTGAACATCTTGATCTTGGGGAAGACACCTGGAAGTGGGGAGATGTGGTTTAGCCTGGATTGGTTTGTCGGGCTGGATTACCCCTGTTGTGGCACAGGACAGTATCAGTCCCACGCAGCCAGGGAGGCAGGTCTGCTTTTCCAGCCCTGACACCCAGTTCCAGGCAGTCAGTCCACAGTCTCTCCCACCTAGTCTGTCCATCCACCTTCTCTCTTTGTGCCTGGATCACATGTTCATGTGCAGGCTCACAAGTGTCTGCATTTAGCCCAGTTCTGCACCAGCTTTGGTGCCACAGCTTTGGAACTTCTCCATCAGCTCTGACATTGCAGTAGCCCGGGAGAGGGCAAAGCCAAAGCCACACAGGTCTGTGCCCAACACAGTGTTTAGGTTTCCATTCTTTTCTCTTTCATTCCCTGCCTTCAGCAGGGAAATGGTCCCTGGGCTGGGCTGGGGCTGCCCCAGGGAGGCTGCAGCTGCGTGCCTCAATGTCAGCTCAAGGTGGTTTAGCTTCAATGCCTTTAATAGTGTTTGTTTTCCTTTTCCTCTGGGGTGGCTTGAGAGAAGAGGGTCAATAATGGAATCAGCATGTACAGGAACACCTGTAGGGTTTGGGTAAAAATTCCATCACTGGCCTGGGTTTCAATCCCAAACATGGGAGCTCCAGATTGACGTCCCAGTAGCTCCAGTCTCTGGGTCCAGGAGGTGCCCACGGAGCAGAGCCATCACCCTGGGGAACTGCAGGCACAGCTCACCACCTCCATGCTGTCCTTCTTCCAGGGCACACAGCACTTCCCGGAGAGGTGTGGGAAGACTCACACACCCTGCCCCTCTGTTCCCACAAGGAGCCATCTCCAGGCACCCACCGCCATGTCCAAGGACGACGTGGGCTGCAAGCTGACTTCGGTCTACAAGCACAAGGAGAGGAAGCCAAAGAAGCCTCACTACATCCCAAGGCCATGGGGCAAACCCTACAACTACAAATGCTTCCAGTGCCCCTTCACCTGCATGGAGAAGTCCCACCTCTACAACCACATGAAGTACAGCCTGTGCAAGAACTCCCTGTCCCTCCTCATCGAGTCCGACTGGCCCTACAAGAAGGGGAACCTGCTGCACCCAGAGCTGCGGCTCCTGCACACGGAGCCCTCCCGGCTGCGCGGGCGGAGGGATGAGCAGGACACCTGTGACTCCTCGGCCACCTCGGTGGGGTCGGGCCGGACCAAGCAGACTCCAGGCAGGGATGGCCATGAGGACAAGTCAGGAGTGGAGATCCTGCCTGCTGAAGGAGCTGGTGAAGAGGGTGGCCAGTTCCAGGAGGAGGAGGAGGACGTCGCAGGCCTGCTGCGGGAGATGGATGCGGGGGAGAAGAAAGAGAAAAGCGAAGAGGCAGGTTGCCAAGGTGACCCAGCTGAACCAGAAGTGAATGCTTTGGTCTTCGGCTTCAAGAACAAGAGGGACAACAAGCCTTGCAAGGAGGTGGAGCCTGACTTCATCATCACGGATGTCTTCTCCCTCAAGAACCATGTCATGAAGAGCAGGGAAATGGCCTCCCCTGACCTAGATGCTAAGCCAAAGCATTGCAAAGTGCCAAAGAAATGCCTGGCCAGCGGTGGGATCCTCATGGAGCAGTGGAAGCTGGTGGCAAACGGGCAAAGGAGGAATACACCTGAGGTCTCCCCGCCTTGTACTGACAGCAACATCATCCCGTGCTATCCACCTCCAGCCTACAGTGACTACCATGAACCTCAGGGCCTAAACCTCTCACTGCTGGGTATCAACTACCCATTAAACCCCAGTCTCTTCTCCTACCTGAGCCCCACCATGGCCAACAGCACGACAACACACCCACACTTGGCTCAGCTGCCCTTCCTGGCTTCCACAGCCCAGCTGATGCACCCACATGCCTCCCACTTCCAACCTCTGCAGACCCCCGAGCGCTCAGCCTTCCTTCCCCGCTTCTACTACCCCTTGCTCTTCGAGCACACCTTCGGCTCCACTGACAGCAAGATGTCCTCCAGCAAGCCAGACACCCAGCAGCTGGTGGGCTCAGTCATGCCCACACCACCCCAGGCCAAACCTCCCAATGAGCCAACCAAACCCGGGCTGCTGAAGGTACCCATCCTGAAGACAGGTTTTCCTTGGTCCAAAGGTGTCCGGGAGGAGCCAGGCTCTGAGCTCAGCCACCCTGCCATGCTGGAGCAGGAAGAAGAAGAGAAATGGCTGTCCCAGGAGAAGGAGGGCAGCCCAGCTTTGGGCCTCACCAACCTGCGCAAAAAGCCAGCCACTGACATCTACCAAACCGTGGTGGGGGTGAAGGATGGTGCTTTCACCCACGGCGGCGTCCGGAAGACAGAGCTGGGAGTGGTGACCTGTCTGGAGACCAGCAGCCCTCCAGGAAACGCACTGAAGAGGAAGTTCCCAGCCAACGGGCTGGATTTGATAGGACCTGAGAGGATGATGCCTGAAAAACTCAGCTACCTGGGCAGGTAAGTTGCCGGTGATCTCAGCTTCTTCCTGACATCTGGTTGACCTTAAACATCACCTTTGTACCCTGTTGTATTACTGATCCCCCTACTAATCTAATCATCTCTAATGAGATGAACTCCAGAGGGCTGAGCATCCCCCAGGCTGGTGGTCCACACCAGTGCCCACTCAGAGCAGGACTCTCTGCCCTCCAGGTGTGTCCAAGCACCTGGGCTATGTCACACATGCTGTCACTTGCTTTCCCCTATTCTATATAGAGCCAGAGGTCGTGTGTGTCTGTGTGGTGTAGACCTGTGCTCCTCAGGCTCCAGGAAAGCTCCTCTTGTGTCCCCAGATATCCCAGGTTTGCTGGAACAATCATTGCCTATTTTTAAACACACCCATTTGCATTCCTTTGATTCGCCTTCTGGTTTCAAAGCCCAGAAGGAGGGTCACGTTCCCAAACATTTCCTTTTACCTGGGGCTAGAAATGTGCGCAGCTCCTTTAAACAGATTTTCGGTTCCTCCCTTGGTTGTGCAAGTCCAGCTGTGACTCCAAGAAAAATGTCACAGTAAACCCACCCCTTTGACACCTGGAGGAACTTTCTCTGGAGAAGCTCTCTGTGATGTTTTGTCTCCACCTGCCCTTTCCCTGCTCTCAGGTGGGATGGAGAGATCCCCTCCAACTGAGCCTTCATTCAGAACTGTAGGATGGTCATTTCCATCAACATTCTCCAGTGCTGCAAGAAGAGGGAGAACCCAGGTTTGGCCAGATGAGGTGGGATCAGCACCATTTCCCCAGGCTGGTCCCTCCCTTGGTTGATGGGTGTCATGAAACAGTGTGTGCCAGGGCCCATCCTCCTCCTAGGCTAATGATGCCAGGAGCAGGTCCAGCCAGGGCTCTTCACGCTTTGACCAAAATCCTTCCTGGAAGGGTCCCACACTGGCAGCAGCCAGTGGAGGAACCCCTGCTGTATCTGGCCCTGGACCTGTGCCCAAGGGTTTTCCTGTCATTTTCCCTACTGACTGTATCCGCTTCTTCTCTGCAGCGGTTCAAGGGCCAACGCTGGCCACATCCCCAAGGTCCTCGACCACTGGCACACAGAGGTCCTCGCAGGGCAGCCTGAGGAACCAGAGAGGGGCAATGACACCGAAGTCTTTCCCTCTGTGGGTGCTGCCCTGGACTACGGTCTCTGCAAGCAGAGCAGACCCCAGGAGACATCTGCCACCATGACAGACCCTGAGGCAACAACCGTGCTCATCGGGGACCTGTCCAAAACCTTGGAGGAGTACCAGGAGGTGGAGAAGAAACTGTCTGATCTGGCAAAGGACGACACCCCTGGGCAAAAAGAGCTGAGGGACCAGCTGGTCAAAATACGAAGGGAGCTCTACCACATCCACCAGGCACTGGAGAAAGCCACCAAACCCCACGAGGGGCCGCTGGACCTGTCGGTGAAGAGATCCCCAGAAGGTCTGGAGAAGGTCCAGCAGGCCAAGAAGGAGCCCTGCAACATGAGCCTGGGAAGTGAGAAGCTCCACGGCAAAGACCAAGGGCCCCTCAGCAAATGTCCGGCCACGGGGGAGGCCAGAGATGGGGAGGGGCTGCCCAGCTGCCTCCTCGAGGCTGAGAACAAAACCATCGACCTGCTGATCAAGATGAGCCGCTCCGAGAGCCTCCGGGCGGCCTCGTCCGAGGGCCCCCTGGGCGCTGTGATCAAGGCCGAGGTGCTGCCGCTCTCAGTGCCCCTGGAGCTGCGGCACGTCATGGAGCCCTACTACAGCCGCACCACCAAGTGTGAGGCCGACTCCAGCGTCCTGCTCTGCTCCGACGGCAGGTCCGGCACCACCCAGGGCCCTCAGCTCCCGGTCCCTGCTGAGGATGGGCCCCTGGGCTGCCGGGCCATGCAGCGCTCCCTGTCCCGTGGCCTTCCCGGCGACACCGACGCCGTGTGTGTCCACAGCCCTCTGCATGCAGACCCCTAAATCCAGCTCGCTCGAAAGCTCCTGGATCTCACTGACCACCTCATGCTTCACCTTGCCAGCGTCCCACCTCTCCACTCCTCCTCTTCCCCATGGATGAAAGCTCAACTGCTGCCTGGCTGGAGCCACGTTCTGGGGGTCCAGCCAGCTCCCATGGATGACTCCACAAGATGTAAAAATCCAGTCCCTGTCCTCCCTCAGTGTCACAGACAGTGCTGCTGGGCTCTCCATGCTCCTAAGCCACAGCACCCTGCTCCTAGAGCTCCCTTCCAAAGGGAAATCATTAGCAGCAACAACGGACAACTGCTAAAAGCACCAGACTCTCAGCAAAAGGCTCACCCAGCCCTCTCATCAGGGACACTCAGGGACATTTTCAACTCAGCTCCCATAATCTGTGGACAGGGGAGGGACTACAGAGAGCCAAGCCTTGGTCCAGGCTGTGCTCAGAGACCGTGGCTGTCACCTTGTGCAGAGCAAAGGCACAGTGGCTTCACCCCACGGAGGCTGGAGGGTCACAGCGGGAAATCAAATGCACAGCTGGACTGACCCAGAGGCCAAGTGCTTTCCACACTCTGGAGACAAGAATATCCTCCCAGTCACAGTGACAAGGTGACATGGCAGCCACCTTGCCAGCTCCACACCAGCTCTCCTCCAGGGGTGTTTGCCATGTGTGGGGAATGCTGGGCTGTGGGGACTTGCTCCTGTCCACTGACCATTCAGGGTCTGGTTCCCCCTTTCACCTGTACACACAAAGAACCTTCCCTCCCTCTGCCCCTTGGCCTCTGCCCAAGCAGACGTGATGCGTGGCCCTGATTCTGCAGAGTTCAGCTCCCAGGTGCTCCTGCCCACTAGTCCTAATCCCCCAAATGATGGCACATGGGACAGCAAAATGGGTGAGATGATGCTGCCATGAACCACACAGCTCAAGGGACAAAGACCCCAAAAATAACTGAAAGGACAAACTTGTCCTGTCTCAAGCTGGAACAAGGCTGAGCAGCCACCCCTGAGCCAGACCGCTGGGGACCCACCCACCCAGTCAGGTGCCTGATGCTTGTGGGATCAGCATCAACCTTCCCAAAAGGCCACCTTTTCCCCATGTTCTTGCCTCTGTTGGGCAGGCTGGGACCCACCACAGGGCAGTCACAGCACCCTGTCCCCTGCCACCCTGCTGAGCAGCATCTGGCTCTGTCTCTGTCTCAGGACATCACCATGCTTGGGAGCCAGGAATTCTTAGAGTCCCTCCCTCCAGTGCTCTCCTCCTGGAAAAGCCAGGCACCCTTTCTTTCCCATCCACACTCCCTGTTCAGAACATGGTGGGGTGTCCTGGTAGCACCCACAGCCTTCACCACCTTGACCTGGTGGCTTGTTTTTTGGAATGAGAAACACTGGGATGGGGGGGCAGGAGGGCAGGACAAAGGGGACAGAGGTAAAGCCACAAATAAGGGACCTGCACAGTGCATCCAAGGAGCTTTAGACACTCTGGGCACAAAGTGGATATTCTCTCTGCAGTAGCTTAAGAAGGCAACCCTGCACGTGGGACCTGGGATTCACCAGTACTTTGATGGACCCAGACAACAGGAAGAATTGGCTCTTCTCACTGCTTTGCTCTCTGGACAAAGCTTCCACCTCATCAAAGGAGCTTATTTCTCACTGTAAGACTTTTCCTAAGGCACAGGGGCCTGTGGGGTTGTTGGTCTCTTCTCTCTGAAAGGAAGGAAAAATGATCAGCTCAGCCCTCTCGAGCCAGCTCCAGGTATTCCTGATGGACCATGTCCTGCTCCTTCCCAGCATGGTCCTGGCCCCTCAGGGTCCAAGGGAAGGTCATGAGACTCCACTAGAACAGACCCCAGAGCTTCGGTGCAGGACTCTTGATCCCAGAGACCAGAGGAGCTGATGTTGGGCCTTTCTTTCTGGGTGTGAATAGTGCTGTCATCTCTGAATGCCAGAGCACCATCAGCACAGAAGCCCCCCCAACACCAAGCACCTTGCTCACATCACCCACTCCCACCAGCCTCCCAATCTCTCTTCAGCCTCTTCTGCCACCCTGTGCCCCTTTGTCACCTGTGCCCCTCTGTCACCCCCTCTCCCCAGCTCCCTCTCTCAGACAGCCCTGGCACCCACTGTCCCCATGCCAGCACCTCCCTGTTCCCATATCTCAGGGCTCCCTAATCCCCCCCCACCTTCTTTGTGCATCCCTTCATCCCTGGACCCTCACCCAGAGCACAGCCAGGAAGATGGAGTCCCATTTTCCCGTGACATCCTTCCCTGCCCTCCCAGCCTTTACCTCCTCTGAGGAACAACAAGACGTGTGGGTCCCTCTGCCCACCTGGGAGCCCCATCTCCTCCCAGCCCTGTTGTTTCAGCAGATCCCCGTCTGAACCCGGGCACCTCGGAGGTCCGGGACACCAGGGGGGTAACTGAGCTCTGGGACCAGCAGCCCTGACCTTCAGCAGGAGATCCCTGCCCAGACCTCCAGGCAGTGCTGCCTTTCACCCTGTGTTAGCTGAGATGCTGCCTGCACACTGCCACCTCTCCCTCCCAGCCCCTGACTCCATCCTGCTGCCCTGAGCTGGGATGCTGCCCTGCTCTGTGGTGCCAATGCTGTGAACTGGGCACCTCTCCCACAACCAGAGCTGGTGCCCACAGCCCTCACCATGTCACCCACCATCTCCCTCACCTCCCCAGAAAGCTGGGGACAGGTGGGAGCTGGGGGTCGATCACGCAGTATTTATTGTTCACAGTTTTACGAATGTACAAAACAAAAACCAAACCATTAAAGGGAAAACCTCCGAGTGGGAGTTGCTGTTGCCTGCTTTGTTCTCCTTTCTATGGAGCTCTGTCTGCTCCAGCCAGATCCTGCAGCAGTCCCTGGCCATGGTTCTCCAACATGCAGCCTGTGTTTTCAGGGTGCCGGGTTAGCCACCAGACGTGGCCAGGTGTTGGCTCTGGCTGCATGTGGTCAGTATTTACGTGGGTGGGTTTTGACTGTTTTGTTTTGCTGGATCAACACTGGGATACCATTAGCTTGTCCCGTGCTGGGAAGAGGGGCAGCCCATTATGTCTGGCAGCAGATGTCAGGGGAAGAAACCTCCTCACAGGAGCCACGAGGGTCCTAATTCATAGAATCATAGAATTCCAAAACAGTTTGGGTTGGAAGAGACCTTAAAGCTCATCTCATTCCAACCCCCTGCCATGGGCAGGGACACCTCCCACTGTCCTTGGTTGTCCAACCCCCATCAACCTGGCCTTGGACACTTCCAGGGATCCAGGGGCAGCCACAGCTTCCCTGGGCAACCTGTGCCAGGGCCTCCATACCCTCACAGGAAAGAATTCCTCCCTAAGTAGTACTAAACCTACTTTCTTTCAGTCTGAAGCTGTTCTCCCTTGTCCTATCACTACCCTTCCTCCTGCAGAAGTCCCTGCACACACACACACACAGCCTCTTCCTTCCATCTCCATTGACAAATTACCATGGCTAGGCCTTGGGGCTGCAGCGCCAGCCCCTGAGTCCTGGTGCAGGGCAGAGCAAAGAAGGGGGTATAGGGTCATATCCCACATCCCAGTGCCACCCTGTTGCTCAGCCTTTGCACCTTGTCCTCAGGGGTGCTGGTGGCACCCTCACAGAAGGGATGGCTCCCCTCCATGCACTGGCATGGCTCTCCAAGGCAGCCCCCTGCCCCGGGACTGCTGCTTGCAGAGCGCCAGGGTGGGATTTTCTGGAGGTGGCCAAGCTGGTGGAACCATTCCAGCTGAAAAGATGAAAGCATTTACCTTTACATTTAAATAATGGATGGGAGTTGAACTACTGGGGTGGTTTATCCAGTCTGCAATCTGCACCCCCAGGGCCCTCGGCCCACTCCAGCACAGCGCCCATTACACGGCTATTTGGTCACCCTAAAGGCATCTGATAGGGAGCCATTACCTGCCCTTTACTGCAGGCCCACTGATAGTCATCTTTCCTGGTCAGGGTTGACCAAACTCCCCCTGCTTGTGTGTTCCCCCCATTTTCCTGCCAAGCCAAGAGCAGTCCCAGTCGACAACTGGGGGACCCAGACAAATCCCTCCCCTGCCCTGATGAATCCAGCAGCCCCCCTGCTCCTGGAGTTGGGAGGATGTGGAGTCACAGCAGGTCCCTCAGAGCCCAGTAGCTCCTGGTCAATGGAGCTGCACAACTTTTATGAGTTTCTAACCCCAGGTGGGTACAGCTGCTCCTGCTCAAGTATTCCCTCTACTCTGGGTTCAAGAGCAAAGGAGAGCTCTGGGATTGGGAGGGAGGGAAGTTTCCTAATAAACAAACCCTGAGGGAAGGCTTATCTCGGGCAAGGCAGTGGAAGGAACCAGATTTCAAGGTTCCTTGTAAAAGGGGAGGTTGTTATGCTCCCCATCCCATTGGCACAAGTACGTGGCCCCAGGGAAGCTGAGAGTGGAGGTGGGTTCGCTGCATCCCCAACCAGTTTTCCGGCTGCATTGGTGTGACTGTGAGCTCTGGCTGGATGCCCTGCCAGGGTCAACAGCAAGGGGAGACAGTGCAGGGGCAACCCAGGCACCCTGGGGCACAGGGATGGGGCCAGAGTTTGTAGGGAAGGGTGGCAGGTCACATCATGCTGCTCGTCTTGAGCATGAGGTGGGAACATGCCACAGACCCCATGAAAATGCTGTGTCCCCAAATTTCCCCGGCAAAGGGCCAGTGGTAAACTTTGGGGATGGATCTCATGCTGGAAGAGGACTTTCACTGCAGAGGTACAGTCCCAGGGCTTCATGGGGGACAGCAGGGGCTGTGGTGGGCATCAGCTCCTCCCATTGCACCTCAGCCTGGTGGGGGAAACAACAGTCCAAGGGACGGAGCAGAAAACTCCCTTGGGATTTCTGGGCACTCACTCGTAACAGTGGAACCAGCTGGGGACAAGAAGTGGTTCCTGCCCAGCACAACCAGTTCTCTCTTACCCCAACGTGGGCAGAGCAGAGCTCAGAGCAGTGGAAAGTTACTAAACGTGGACTCAAGA